ATGAGGAGCTGGAGCTCATCTGCCTCTCCCTGGATTCAAACCTGCGACCTGTCGGTCTTCAGTCCTGCTGGCACAGGGGTTTAACCCACTGCACTACCAGGGGCTCCTTATTCCATAAGATTGAGTCATGGAAGTGGTGTCAAACTGCATTAATTCTACAGTGTGGATGCACTTGAGGACAGCTACACCTGCTGTTTTCCACCCTTTGGAGGAAATGCAATTCCAAATAAGGGTGCACTTACAGTGTATAATTAATGCAGCTGGACACCATTTTAATTGCAATGGATCAATGCTATGGAATAATGGGAGATGTGGTTTTACAACATTTTTAGCCTTCTGTGCCCAAGAGTGCTAGTGCCTACATGTTCTACAACTCCATAACATTGAGCCATGTAGTGTCAAACTATATTATTTCTCCATAACAAGTGGGATTCAGAGGTAGACTGCCACCGGCTAAGAGGTTTTCACTAGTCAGCTTTATGATTAAATCCAACTGAGAGTCTTGTCTTCTCTGATTTGTCTTGACTCTTTGAAGATCTTAAAACAAATAGATTGGGACAGGCATGTAGCCGGGGGGGAGCTTGAGGGGCTTCAGGCCCCCCCCCGCCGCCCCCCCCAATTCTCATGGTGGTCCCTCCCAATTTGGTGTCATCTGCAAACTTGATGATCCTGCCTTCTAACCCTTCATCTAAGTCATTAATAAAGATGTTGAACAGGATCGGGCCCAGGACAGAACCCTGCGGCACTCCGCTCATCACTTCTTTCCAAGATGAAGAGGAAGCATTAGTGAGCACCCTCTGGGTTCGTCCATTTAACCAATTACAGATCCACCTCACCATAGTATATATCCCATATGCATGGGGGTATTGGGGTAACGATACAAAAGGTTTGCTAGGGGAGACCCTCTTTCACTCAGACTCAGCCCCCCCCCCCCGAATCAAACTGAGCCCCTCCCGAATCAAAATCCTGGCTGCGGGTCTGGATTGGGAACATCTACACTGTCCAATTGACACAGCTACTCCTTTAACAGCGCAGTGGTTCAATTCTATGGAATCCTGAGATTCATAATTTGGAGAGGTACCAGCACTCTTGGGCAGAGAAGGCTAAAGAACTTGCAAAACTACAACTCCCATAATGCCATAGCATTGATCCTTGGCAGTGAATGTAATGTCAAATTCCATTCACTCTATAGTGTAGAACAATGTTTCTCAATATGGGGGTCAAGACCCTGGGGGGGGGTTGCAAGGGGGTGTCAGAAGGGTCGCCAAAGACCATCAGAAAACACAGTATTTTCTGTTGGTCATGGGGGTTCTGTGTGGGAAGTTTGGCCCAATTCTATCGTTGGTGAAGTTCAGAATGCTCTTTGATTGTAGGTAAATTATAAATCCCAGCAATTACAACTTCCAAAATGGCAAAGTCTATTTTCCTCAAACTCCACCAGTGTTCGCATTTGGGGATATTGAGGAGCTGTGCCAAGTATGGTCCAGATCCATCATTGTTTGAGTCTACAGTGCTCTCTAGATGTAGGTGAACTACAACTCCAAAACTCAAGTTCAATGCCCACCAAACCCTTCCAGTATCTTCTGTCATGGGAGTTCAGTGTTTTTTTTTTTTGGTCGTGTCAGGAGCGACTTGAGAAACTGCAAGTCGCTCCTGGTGTGAGAGAATTGGCCGTCTGCAAGGACGTTGCCCAGGGGACGCCTGGATGTTTTGATGTTTTATCATCCTTGTGGGAGGCTTCTCTCATGTCCCCGCATGAGGAGCTGGAGCTGATAAAGGGAGCTCATCCACGCTCTCCCCAGATTCGAACCTGCAACCTGTCAGTCTTTAGTTCAGTGCACCAGGTTTGGTTCAATTCCATCGTTGGTGGATTTCAGAATGCTCTTTGATTGTAGATTAACTATAAATCCCGGCAACTACAACTCCCAAATGACAAAATGAATCCCCCCAACCCTGCCTGTATTCAAATCTGGGCATATTAGTATTTGTGCTAAATGTGGTCCTATGAATGAAAATACATCCTAAATATCCAATATTTACGTAATGATTCATAACAGGAGCACAATTACAGTTATGAAGTAGCAATGAAAATAATTTTATGGTTGGGGGTCACTACAACACAAGTAACTGTATTAAGGGATTGCGTCATTAGGAAGGTTGAGAACCACTGGTGTAGATGCACCCATTATCACCATACGGTAGGGATTTGTAGCTGGACAAAGAACTTCCCCACACTCTTCTCCTGTGGTAGTGAATTCCATAAGATAAAAATATCTTATCCAGGCATTGCCATCAAACAAACAACTATTGCCAACTCTCTTCTACACCATTTATAAAGTTGTACGAAGCTGCCATGGTATCGTGATTTGAGCACTAGATTATATCTCTGGAGACCAGGGTAACCTTGGGCAAATCACACTTTCTCGTCCTCAGAGAAAACCTCTCCTGTACGAATCTTGCCAATAAAACTCTTTGATAGGGTCTTCTTAGATTCACCATAGGTCAGAAAGGACTTGAAGGCATGCAATGACAACAACTCTGCCATATCCCTGAGCTGAAAATAGCTTCAGTTTCATCTTATTTCTGCCTTCTAGGGCTCTTAAGCCAGGGGGCATAATTAAAGAATGTAAAAATGATGTCTGCTGATTTAAGGATTGTAGAAAAGAGGAATAAGATGAAATCAAAGGGGACAAGTCTGTCATTTGGAATTAATTGTGAGGTCCAATGAATGCAACTTCCATGGCTGGTGACAGTCTATCTATGACTGGAGATTTCATGCCTCTCCATTGCTCTATCAGTGTGAAAATCTGAGGACTCCGGTGGATTGTCTTTTCAGAAAGTCACCAACCAATCCCCCCAAAGAAATCCATGCACAGCATAGAAGCACCCATCTCTTCCCATCATCCCCATCACATTCTTTCTTAGGTGTCTTTTACTGTTTCAGTGGGGTAGTGAATCTATTCCAGTTTGTTGTAAGTTTTCCAGGTTGTATGGCCATGTTCCAGAAACATTCTCTCCTGACATTTCACCTGCATCTATGGCAGGCATCCTCAGAGGTTGTGAGGTCTGTTGGAAACTAGGAAAAGGGGTTTATAAGAAGCCAGACTTGGAAACTGCTAGGCTATTAAATACTAATCAAGGTGGCCAATTGAAACATTCACACCTACCTCAAAATGACAAGAGTTCTTTCTCCCACCCTGGATAGTCCACAGATATATAATCTCCTTTTCCCTAGTTTCCAACAGACCTCGCAACCTCTTAGGATGCCTGCCATAGATGCAGGCAAAACATCAGGAGAGAATGCTTCTGGAACATGGCCATACAGTCTGGAAAACTCACAAGAAACCAGTAATTCCAGCCATGAAAGCCTTCGACAATACAAATCCATTCTGGGTTGGAGTGCTGCAAAGGAGCTATCCAAAGTGCTGAACCAATTCTGAGACTGGAATTCAGCACCTTGGGCAACTCCTTCAAAGGCTACACCAAAACCTGAAGAAGACTCATTGCCTCAGTATTAAAGGATCTACCAACCACTACTTGGCTCAATACAGTATGATCCACATTTCCCCGAGCACCCAAGTCTAGATGGGCTGAACCCAAGACAGAAAGGAAATGCCCGCATGGAAGAAATCATACCTTTTTTATTCCTGATGTGTTCTATAATTGTTTTAAATCCAGCTGTCATCCTAATATGATTGCCTGCTCCATTGCCTATTAATGTTCTCTGTAGCATGTGTACATTAATCAGGTTGGGATTGCCAGCATTGGGAAAAGGACCGGATGCATGTCACAAAAAGGACTCAATGTGAAGATACATCTTGAAAAGAGCGCATCCTTCCTCCAAAGATCAAAGGTAGCGCTATAAAGCTTCTGGAAATAAACCCATCCATCCGCCCACATCCATGCACACCCACCGGCTGTGTACCGCACATTGGCTGGCAGCATTCGTGGCAAAGGCAGCGGCTGCCGCCCAGCTGTAGTCGCCACTCTGGGCAACTTTCGCTTTCCTATCGAAACCAAAAAAGAAACCTTTGATTTCCAACCACTGACACACACAGTTTTAACCTGGCACATGCAAAGACGCCTGACAGAAAGATGCCCCCGAAATAAAATAGATCCATAGACTCTTAAGGCACACAGGAAGCTTCATTGCACCCACAAGAGCCCTGGACTTCAAGTGTACCAGCAATTGGATACATCATTTGAGTTTCTCTTTCTTTTCATCTCTTAGCTGTGACAGCTTCTCATGCTGTTTTGACAACGTGAGACATCCCTAGCAAGGATTCCTAAAAAAAGGAAAGTCACACACCCTGAATCTCACTGACAACGATATGTGAAATAGAAGCATCAGTACCAGAGAGAGAGACTGAAACTGAGAGAAGGAAAGCGAGAAAGAGATGTGGATCATTTCAAGCTCTGGTCCACACACTCTCTCTCTTTAGTATATGTGTAAAAGGGAAAATCTGGATCCATTTGGGAGAAACCACTAATGCAATGGGATCTGGCCAAAGGTTTGATTCACATCTCATATCCCTGGAGGTTCTGCTCAGATTTTGGCAGATGATGGGAAGGCAAGAGGAAGCGCAAGCTCTCCGGCACTAAGACCAAATCGCTGCTGGCAAGTCATGTTTCGCTTCGCCACATGGCATATTTATAGCGACAGGCGTGGAGCCCGCGATCCGTAGTGCAACGTGTGGAGAATTCGGCACCGAGCATGGCATGCACACGCACGCATGAAGACACACACACACCCTTCCTATGGGCCGCATACAGCCTGCCCCAACATGACCCTCGATATGGCCCACCTTATATGGCCCACTGGTAAGGGAATGAGTGGCTAACTGTTGATCCAAGCCAAAGCTTTCTACCAGAGAGCGGTTTGGCTACCTTGAAACAAAGCCATGCTCCCCACCCCTTTTAGCATCCTCTCTGAAAGCCACATTTCCTGACCCCAATGGGAAGAAGAAGCAGAAGAAAAAATCCCACACAGATCCACTTACCTTGTTTGCTGGCGACTGAGGCTTGGTGTTTCTGCTTGGCAGCTGGCTACATCCTACTGTCCTTTTAAATCCCCTTCTTCCTCTGGAAAGATTGTGTCTTCCTCTCTCCCCCTGCTGTCCTTTGGAGACTGAGGAGCACACACACAGAGACACACTCGCAGGGACACACGCCGCCAGCTGGGAAATTGATTTTCGGGGCTCCAAGTTGGACTGAGGTATGTGGAAGGGAGGATGAGAGGAGGAAGAGAAGAAATGAAAAAGGGGGGGAAAGAAGGAGTGGAGGCTTCCTTGCAAAGATGCTCTTCTGCTTGTTCCTTCTCCTCTTCCTCCCCTTTCCTCTTTCTCCTCCTCTTCTCAGCCCTGCACTGCAGATTTTAGGGGTTAATTGGAAGAAGATGAGGCTTGAGGTTCCTTTACTTACTAACCACTGAGAAAAAATGAGAGATGGAGGGAGGGAAAAGGGGTGGTGGAAGGGGGAGGGAACAGTGAGAAGATGCGGAGGTGGATTTCCCAGGAATTGGGCAGTGGGGAAGGGGGGATTTCTCCCTCTGATTGACAAGTGCACTACTTTTCACTTGCAGGAGAAGATGAGAAGCCTGACCCTGTGCAACTCCCTCCTTGGCCCCTGTTTTATCCCATTGCTTCCCCTCGTCTCCCTACTCTCTTGTCTGCTATGTCTGGCTTGCACATCCAAAGGAACTTCTCTTCCTCCCCTCTTTAGTTTTGGTCTCTATTTTCTCTTCTCTACAATGGGAATCCAGCTCCACAGCAGACCAGGGGAAGTCCAAATCCTCCTGTCCAAAGGACAGATGTGAGAGCACATTTCAAGCGCATGGCTCAGGGGATGGTATATAGGGAGGATGAATTGAGAGAGAGAGAGATACAGGGATTGAGAGGAGGAGGAGAAGAAGCTGAGAGATTTGCATTCAAGGGAGAAGCAGATGCTTATTTTTAGGCACTCGAACAAATTGCCTGCTGTTTTTCTGCTTTGTTGCACAGCTACAAAAGCAGCGGGTTGAAATGGGGGAGAGCAAGGCCTTTTTGGGAGGTGGAGATGGGTGGGTGGTGTTGTGGACGGGTTGGAAGGAAGAGCCACGCAAAGCGAAAGATGAAGATCAAAGCTTCGGGGACAACATGACAGCTCAGTTAGGCGAGCAAGAATGAGAGGAGAAAGGACAGGCAGGGGGAGTGTTTGGCTCACCAAAGGATGCTCCAAGCTGCTACTCTGCCCACTTGGCAGGAGCCAGCAAGGCCTCTGGGTGGCAAAACTCTCTGGGACCTCTGGGGACTGGGGCCGTGGTGGTGGGGATGGCACTTGCAATTGAGAGAAGGCTGCAGCAGAGTGGTGCCTTCCTGTCCTGCTCCTACTTCAACCTGCCAAGGAATTGCTCCAAGGCACAGCTTCCTCTGGGCAAGTGGAAAATGGAGCCAGCTTGGGACTGGAGGCTGAAGGAGTTTGGAAAGCTTATCTCCGCTTCATAGCACCTTTTGGGGTGCAGTTTACTCTGACAATGTCCCTGGGGGTGTGTAGCTGGTGAGATGCCACCTTACATTTCCTCACAAGCCCCCAAGCAAACTTGGTGTGCATCTCAGATCGTGGTGGGAAATGCAAAACGGCAGCTTGCAAAGGGTGCTGAAGGTGTTGACGCTGACACTGGATCTGACATCATTCCAGAGCTAAAGAGAATAGAGTGGAGATAGTTTTTCTGCCTTTAGGGGTTACGTAGCTGAGAGAATTTCAGCAGGTCTTGCTTGTTTCCCAGGCCGGCTCTACACTTTAGAATTAACACCACTTTGATTACCATAACTCAATGCTGTGGAATCCTTGGGTTTGAAGCATCAGCACTCTTGGGAAAAGAGGTTAAAGACTTTGTAAAACGACAAACAACAACTCCAAGGACTCCATAGCATTGTGCCATGGCAGTTATGTCTGTATGTTTTAATTGTCTCTCTCTACAAAAGTCAAAATATGATTCTATGTATGAGGGTTATCTGGAAAGTAAGGTTACAAGATTTTTAAAAAAATACAAAGTATAGGGCCATGTTCTAGAGGCATTTCTCCTGCCGTTTCGCCTGCATCTATGGCAAGCATCCTCAGAGGTAGTGAGGTCTGTTGGAATTAGGACAATGGGTTTATATATTTGTGGAATGGCTGGGGTGGGGCAAGGAGCTCTTCTCTGCTGGAGCTAGGTGTGAATGTTTCAACTGACCACCTTCATTAGCATTTGAAGGCCTGGCTGAGCCTGGGAAAATTTTTTGTTGAGAGGTGTTAAGATGTGCCTGGTTGTTTCCTCTCTGCTGTTTTGCTGTTGTAATTTTAGAGTTTTTTAATACTGGTAGCCAGATTTTGTTCATTTTCATGGTCTCTTCCTTTCTGTTGACAATTGAGACACAGCATATTATTTGAGAACACAGAAATGCTGGACCACTCTCACAACCACCATGTCAGACTACACAGAGAAGCCATTGAAATCCACAAGCATGTGTACAATTTCAACAGAAAGGAAGAAACCATGAAAATGAACAAAATCTGGCTACCAGTATTAAAAAACTCTAAAAATTACAACAGCAAAACAGCAGAGAGGAAACAACCAGGCACATCTTAACACCTCTCAACAAAAGATTTTCCCAGTCTCAGCCAGGCCTTCAAATGCTAATGAAGGTGGTCAGTTGAAACATTCACACCTAGCTCCAGCAGAGAAGAGCTCTTTGCCCCACCCCAGCCATTCCACAGATATATAAACCCATTGTCCTAATTCCAACAGACCTCACTACCTCTGAGAATGCTTGCCATAGATGCAGGCGAAACGTCAGGAGAAATGCCTCTAGAACATGGCTCTATAGCCCGAAAAAACCCACAAGAACCTAGTGATTCCAGCCATGAAAGCTTTCGACAATACAATACAAGGAATGAATACATTCTAATCACTTATATGGATTGTAGCATAGGTATTAAATTATTTTTCCACACAATCCCCATTCAGTTCAATACATTTTGTCATCTGCGGGATTAGTTTTTTGATGCCTATGTCATAGAAGTTTCCCTCCGCCTTTTTCAACCAGTTCATCACTTTTCACCTCCTCCTCATCAGAAAAGCGTTTTCCACCCAGATGTTCCTTCAATTTAGTGAACAGATTATAGTCACTGGGTGCAAGATTGGGGCTGTGAGAGCATCGTTCATGCCCTTAGCACTTAGGTAGCATACTCCAGCACAAACTTCGCACTTGGAGGGAAACAGAATGAGGACACTCATCTCTAACCTACACCACAACGCCAGTCGATGAGCTACTGAGGGGTGGCACTGCTCGTTCGTTTCCGCTGGTTTCCCACTACATGGCAGTGATACCAACTTCTCCCGAGAAAATTCCCCACGAGACCTATGTGCATTGTAACCTTACTTTCTGGATAGCCCTTGTATGTTTGTCCATTTGTACCCAAAAGGCTGTTGCTAGGTAAAGTGGCCCTCGAGCTCAGGCTTGCCAGGGACATTAAAAACAATAAAAAGGGATTCTTTTCTTATGTCAGTAGAAAAAGGAAAAACAAGGAGGCGATAGGGCCTCTCCGAGGAGAAGATGGGGCAATGCTGACAGGGGATAGGGAAAAGGCAGAACTACTTAATGCCTTCTTTGCCTTGGTCTTCTCACAAAAAGAAAGTCATCTTCAACCTCAGCAAGATGGAGTGGATGAGGGATTAGAGGACATCCAACCCCAAATTGGGAAACAAATTGGGAATACCTGGCCGCTCTAAATGAGTTCAAGTCCCCAGGGTCAGATCAACTACACTCAAGAGTATTGAAGGAATTAGCGGAAGTCATTTCGGAACCATTGGCAATCATCTTTGAGAGTTCTTGGAGAACAGGAGAAGTTCCAGCAGATTGGAGGAGGGCCAATGTGGTCCCAATCTTCAAGAAGGGAAAAAAGGATGACCCAAATAATTACCGTCCGGTCAGCCTCACGTCGATACCAGGCAAAGTTCTGGAAGAGATTGTTAAGGAAGTGGCCTAAAACACTTAGAAACAAATGCGGTCATCGCTAATAGTCAACATGGATTTATCAAAAACAAGTCATGCCAGACTAATCTGATCTCTTTTTTTGATAGAGTTACAAGCTGGGTAGATGCGGGGAATGCCGTGGATGTAGCATACCTGGATTTCAGTAAGGCCTTCGACAAGGTCCCCCATGACCTTCTGGCAAACAAACTAGTCCAATGTGGGCTAGGCAAAACTACGGTGAGGTGGATCTGTAATTGGTTAAATGGACGAACCCAGGGGGTGCTCACCAATGTTTCCTCTTCATCCTGGAAAGAAGTGATGAGTGGAGTGCCGCAGGGTTCCGTCCTGGGCCCGGTCCTGTTCAACATCTTTATTAATGACTGAGATGAAGGGTTAGAAGGCATGATCATCAAGTTTACAGACAACGTCAAATCGGGAGGAATAGCCAATACTCCAGAGGACAGGAGCAGGATTCAAAACGATCTTGACAGATTAGAGAGATGGGCCAAAACTAACAAAATGAAGTTCAACAGTGACAAATGCAAGATACTCCACTTTGGCAGAAAAAATGAAATGCAAAGATACAGAATGGGTGACGCCTGGCTCGAGAGCAGTACGTGTGAAAAAGATCTTGGAGTTCTCGTGGACAACAAGTTAAACATGAGCCAACAATGTGATGTGGCGGCAAAAAAAGCCAATGGGATTTTGGCCTGCATCAATAGGAGCATAGTGTCTAGATCTAGGGAAGTCATGCTACCCCTCTATTCCACTTTGGTTAGACCACACCTGGAATATTGTGTCCAATTCTGGGCACCACAGTTCAAGAGAGATATTGACAAGCTGGAATGTGTCCAGAGGAGGGCGACTAAAATGATCAAGGGTCTGGAGAACAAGCCCTATGAGGAGCGGCTTAAGGAGCTGGGCATGTTTAGCCTGAAGAAGAGATGAGAGGAGATATGATAGCCATGTATAAATATGTGAGAGGAAGCCACAGGGAGGAGGGAGCAAGCTTGTTTACTGCTTCCATGGAGATTAGGACAAGGAACAATGGCTTCAAACTACAAGAGAGGAGATTCCATCTGAACATGAGGAAGAAC